GTTTGAACACGCACCCTATCCAACCCAGACCACAGAAAGAACTAGAGCCAGCTAACAGAAATGGAAATAAAAGACTGGTTAAAAAGAATGTGCAACAATTATAATGCAGAAAAGATGGAATAGATTGTGTCTTATTGTTTCCATCAAGTGCTTATCAGTGTGAACATGTCAGTCTCTGGGAAATGATGAGATTCCATTATGACAAGTGATGCTCACATTTCTATAGGCGGCATAAATCATAAAGTTAGTCACTGTCATTGGGACTTTCCTCATTATTTAAATGATTTAACAATGATTTAACTACTGAACACATAAACTGATGAGATTTTTTAGTTTTGTGTAATTTTAGTTTGTATAGTTTTCATGTGCCAACAAAATAGACACTGCTATTACCAAGTGTGTGTGTGTGTGTGTGTGTGCGTGTGTTTCTGTGTGTGGGTGTGTGTGTGTGTGCATGTTTATGTGGTTTATGAGGACACAAATTTGTATAATGACATGGGTATGACATAGGTATTACAACGAGAAGGTGATTTATGAGGACATTTTGTGTGCGTGTGCGTGTGTGTGTGTGTGTGTGTGTGCATGTGTGTGTGTGCATGTGTGTGTGTGCATGTGTGTGTGTGCATGTGTGTGTGTGCATGTGTGTGTGTGCATGTGTGTGTGTGCATGTGTGTGTGTGCATGTGTGTGTGTGCATGTGTGTGTGTGCATGTGTGTGTGTGCATGTGTGTGTGTGCATGTGTGTGTGTGCATGTGTGTGTGTGTGTGTGTGATGAATGTAGGCCCTTCTGGCCGTGGTATCACAGTACAGTATGCCATCTAACGAGGTGATGATGTCATACATTTGTCTTTTTGAGGCGTGATGAGTGTGTGATGTCACTGTAATCAGTTAATCCAGCCACACATGATCACATTATCCACGGTAGTGGACGCGGCTCTCTGTCTCTCTGCAGGAGGATGTGCGGGAGCGACGGCCACTGGCGTTAATGGCTTTTTAAATGTCACCGAATGTCATGGAATGATAAAACGGGAATCGGTTATCCCAGGTCGAAGTGATCATCTCCCCCGCTCTCTTTCATTCACTCGTGTTTCCTGTTCCTGTCTCACTCTCGCTCTCTCCGTCGGTCTCGCTGAAGGACTCCAGCACGCGCCGGCTATGGTGCAACTTTCACCGACGCTGATGTCAGCATGATTTATACAGCAAACACACACACACAACAATAGAGGAGAGTGTGTGTGGCTGTTCTTACACCAGTCGTGTGTGATAGTGATTTATTGTTTGTTTTTGCTCGTGTGTGTCTCACTGCATGTTTCCGGACTAAGAATTTTGCTTCTTTTTCTTCACCTTTTAATTTTTTCCTCCTTTTATTTATTTGTCTTTTTTTTTTCTTTTTCCATCCACGTCTTTAACTTCTTGCATTTTCTTTCCTTTTTCCTTGCACTGCCCTGAACAACAGTAAGTAGTATATACATTTGTTGTGCTTTCTTCACCTATATATTTATTTAATTTTCTTACCACCCATCAGTCTTTTTTACTACTTTTATTTTCTTTCCTTTTCCCTTTTCTATGCACTGCCTTAAACAAATAAAGTATTCATAACCTCTTCTTTCTCAAGCATGTCTTCATGTGTCCTTCAGTAAAGAGGTTACTCATAATGCCATGATTTTGCCATCTATAATTCATAATATTATTCATAACTTCTTATATGATCATATAAGGTATACAAAGTGATGAATTCCTGCGAATGCAATTATAATCTAACACATCAAATTAGAGAGAGTAATCCTGACTGCTTATTGTTATTTTCATACTCAAATATGCCGCTTGCATGTGAGTGAATCTATTGCCACTCATATAAACACATCCCGCTGCATTGCATTAACACGCATCTTACAATCAATGCAGTAGATCATAGGTTTGATTTTTGAAATTCTGCTACCCGCTACAAAGTAATACAAAGTGTAGCTCTGCTGTCAAAGTCTGTGAATCTCCCAGTGTGATTCATCATATAGTGTATGTAGGTGTGAGCGAATCAGAACATATGGGCATAGACTGTATATACTATAGTAGAAGCAAATATGAACAGAGAATGAATATGGGACATCTGATCCCAGAGCAGCATTACAGGGACATATGATTTTAAGAATAAAGGGTGTGATAAAATTTTCATGGATGTTTTGTGAAGTTTTATCAGGTTGCTTTCCCTTGATACAGCACATGTTAATGGTTTGACTGTATCATTCTGAATATATGCTGTGTGTGTGTGTGTGTGTGTGTGTGTGTATATAATGCAGTAAGTGTTTGTGAGACTGTAGCAGGTTCTCATTCCTCGTGTAGGTGAGTCTTATTCAGCCGTCTGATCACTGACTTTATAATGAACACACACACAATCATTTTAATGGGCTCTTGTTTCATTAGAGGCACAGGGGAGGGTCAGTGTCATGGACACACTCTCGGCAATGACTGTCATTATACAGGGTCTCAAAGCTCAAGCTAATTGCTGAAGATGATTTAATTAATAAGCCAGTAGTACCTGCCAATCAGCCAATCAGATGCAGCTGTGTGACACGCTCATCAACACCTGTTAGGTTATAGAAACATCAATAAACCTGCTGTTTTATATTTTATTCTCACATTCACCAAGTACCACATATGTAAAAGAAGTATCTGACTTTCTTAATAATAATAATAATAATAACATAAAAATTTTATGTTAAACTAATTCCATATAATACTGTTTTTTGTTTGTTTGTTTGTTTTTTGGTAGTCCTATTTCAAAGTGACTCAGGCTTCACACACAGACAGTCTTGTTTGTTTTCATGCTTTCATTAATGATTTAATTGAGCGAGTGAATCATGGGTAATTGGACACCAGCAGACTCATGTTGATCAGTCAGAACATAAACAGGAAATGCAAGTGATCGGGTATCAGGTGCCAGGACGATGTCAAATCATGTATTTATATTTGTCTGCAGCAGAACTTGTGTGCTACTAAACCTGAGAGCGTCTTTGAGAACTGAATTCACATGTGTTAAAACAATATACAGTTATTAAAATCTACAGGAGTAAGTGATGACAGCATATAAAAACCACAGCTGCCGCAGTTATGAATATGACAGACTATTGACTAAAAAATGAAAGTATATGTCATGGAATGTTTTCTTTTTTTGTTCTTCTTTTATTTGTTCTATCTGTCTGTTTGTCTGTCTGTCTGTCTGTCTATCTATCTGTCTATACTAAATTATTGAATTAATTAATTAATTAATTAAAATATTTAATTATAATTAAATATTTATATAAAAGTTACTTATTTACATATTTTATATATAAAAAAATATATATATATATATATATATATATATATATATTTATATTTATATATATTTGTTTCTGTGTTCAATAAATGTAACTCGCAGTCTTACAGAAATTGTAAAATATAAAAGCCTGCGCTTAAAATATTCTGAGGCCAAAAAGTGAAGTTCTCAACCCATTTTATTAATCTCAAAGATGCAGAACACAGAACATAAAAGCAGTATTTTAAGGTAAAAGCGAGGTTACTTAAATCAAACGCCATAAATGCAAAGCCAAGCATCGGCGAGGCCTGAGATCTGAGCATATGAAACCCGTCTCTCTGCTTTCCAAAGATCCTGAACGCGGTCCAGCATTTTAAAAGTGCGGTAGCCGGCCAATATTCATTTTAGCCAGCGACTGCACATTAGCAAATTCATCTGAGAAATATATTACAGATCCAAGAGTAATGATGATGACTAATCTATAACATCATAAATCCAGCATTGTCAACCTGTCCCTCTTTCATAAGGGTGATTAAATTATTGTTGTGTCGAGGTGAAGTAATTTATTAAAAAGTGCCATTATGTTTATTTACAAGCCAAGTGCTGGTCTTATGCCAGTAATACCATTAACTGCACTGTTGAGACCCATTATGCAATAAAGTACACAATAGTAATTGTAAGATAACAAAGGCAGGGATTTTTTTTCTCTATTTTTCCAGCTGATTATTATGTTTGCAAGTGTTATTATGCTCTTTCAAAGCGCTATAAATCCCAACGCTGTGTAAATCACTGCGACTTGCTGAGCACAGGAACAGTCCCGGACATTATATGTATTGTGTTCATCTGTTTCTTCAGTGAGATTCAGAAACTCTTGTGAATCCAAACTATCAGAACCGACTTCCGTCTGCCTGTTTTCTCATTCTGCTCTTCACTGTTTGTGACTTTGTCTTTTCTTTGACCTTAGAACAAAGGTACAAAACTGTGACTGGAGTGGTATCATTTCAAAAGGTACTCATGTACACTTTATTGGCTAATAAGTACTTTTGAAGTACTAATTTTACATTTAAGATACTAATATGCTCTATTTAGGGGTAAAGAAGGTACAGAGATGTGCTTTTGTACTTTGGGAAGCACCCCAATGACAGCTTTTGTACCTATTTTTCTGAGAGTGTGGTAGTTACAGTATATGCACTTCTTGGAATATAATTCCATTCCACTCTGAATCACAGGGAACTTCAGGAAAACCCTGGATAGCGTGTGGTTGAGGAAGTACATTTGGAGTTTGGTCACCGCTGAGTTTTCTGGCGACCCGTATGTCGAACGCCAAGTAATCCCTCGCTGTTGTTGCCAAATGTCAATGCAACGCAAACAGGACAACACTAAAAATGTTGTGCGGCTTAGCAATGGCGCTCGCTCTGATCGTACTCCACTCTGTTTGATGTGATAATTAAAAACGGAAGGCAAATATTGATGCAGAGATTAGCTGGAGTCATATTTGCCCAGGGATTATGGGGAATTAGGTTATCTCATGTAGAAGATCTCTGGATCGCAATCGCTCCCGCCTACGACAAACCCACTGCTGCGTTTAATGATTTCTTTTTTTTCTTTTGTATTATAGACTTGCTTATTTCATGCTTTTATTTCCACACCCTCATTTCAAACATACATTGTTGTTGTTTTTTTTTGTTTTTTTCATTTCTATCATCAGACTCTACATGAAAATCTGTCGTCACAGATCAACGCTTTCAATTGAGCTCATAAACAAACAGTGAGTATTTACACTTTTGTTTGACATATTAGCAAACAGATGAAAACAGTCACCCTTTGCAAGGTGAGCGCTAACATGTGACGCGCGATATTACACTCTAAAAAATGCTGGGTTGTTTCAACCCAACTTTGGGTCAAATATGGACTAACCCAACCGTTGGGTTAAATTTTTACATTAAATTTTTAACCTAAAAGTTGGGTTAGTTAAATATTTAAATAAAGTTTAATAATTAAATTATTAAATTATACTTATTGTATGTAGTACTTATAGTTGTATTCTAAATAAATTACTATATATTCATATAACAATATAGTGTGTGTGTGTGTGTAATCTAATATTGTCTAAAACTATCAATTCATAGTAATTGTTATTTTATAATTGTATGTAATATTATAATATTACATACTATATATATATATCAGCCATGTTCTTTATTTAGTGATTTTGTAATTATTTCATATTTAATTATTAGTAATTACTTAATATTTAATATTATGTATTAATTCATATTTCAATTTTATTTATATAGTGCTTTTTAAAATACATACCACTTCAAAGTAACATTACAGTAGAAAACACAAAAAAGCAAAAATAAATATATTTAAATTGTAAACATAAGCTTGTATTACAGCCTTTTTCAAATCTTGTATTACACAAACTGTACACTCTAAAAAATGCTGGGTTAAATACAACCCAGTGCTGGGTAAAATAGGGACAAACCCAGCGACTGGGTTGTTTTGACCCAGCGGTTGGGTTACTACTCAGAAGGTTGGGTTAAACATTTAACCCAAACGCTGGGTTAAAACAACCCAATTGCTGGGTTTGTCCCTATTTTACCCAGCACTGGGTTGTATTTAACCCAGCATTTTTTAGAGTGTATTATGTAAATAACAATATAATTTGTATTACTTTGTAAATATAAACTTGTATTGCACAAATTGTATTATACATCCATGTTCTCCATGTATTTAGTAATAATTATTTATTTAATAAATAATATTAAATATTATCAATGAATAAGTGATCATTAGTGTTATTAGGTAGGTAATATACTGGTGTCTCACTCTGAACACAGTCACTTAGCGTTCTCCCGCAGCTATCAGCCGCTGTTGTTAAAGCACAAGCGGGATGTTTGTTAGCGGGATCTCGACGGATCTGGCAGCTGTTTCAGAGACTGATCAGATGCTTGAGCAACACGCAGGTTCCCGCGGGCCGCTGTGTCGAGATGCGAGGGTCCCTCCGAGGGATTAGGACCCTTAAACACCACGTTCACTCAGACTGAGAGAGAGAGAGCGAGAGCTGCGAGGGGAAATGCAGCTGGGAGACACCATTTGGAGGAACTGGGCAGCATTTGAATAAATCGAGTCATTAGGTAGCCGTTTGTGTGAGTGCCGTCATCACCTGACAATCCCGCCGCGCGCACTCACTCGCGTTTCTTCACTCGTCTCCCGTACGAAGTCGAGCAGATTGCCTCGTTTGCATTCGCCGGCGTAGCAGACGCTCGGAGAGACCCCCACCTCCTCTCCGTCCGTCCCTCCCGCAGCTCGGCAGCGCCTCGCAAACCTGTTTCCCTCCGCACTCGCCTTCTGGAGAGACAGATTCATCTCGCTGCGCCTGTTCCTCCGTCTTTCATTTTTCAGTTTTTATTTATCCCATATGGCTCAGAAATTCATCAACATATGGATCCTATTGTCTGTTGCCCATGCGACCCTACTGTTATAGACAATAGCTGATGAGTTTGTTTGAACCTCGCGAGATCCGTCATGGCTGTTGCGGTCGCTTTGCTGAGAGGATCGGGTTTTTTGCGAAGACGCAAGAAACCGGCGTTTCTCGCTGTATGTTTGGAACACAATTCGCAAAACGCTGATGTCCACTGTTTGCAACTACATTAATATACTTACTGTAGTGCGCAGTCAACAAAATGATCATACGGCTTATTAATGCAATGTGTTTTGGATGAATTATATATCAAAAGCATAAGGAAGGCGGTGGTGTTGAGGCGGGATTGGAGATGACCGGCACGCCGAGGATGGAGAGTCCAGATCTGTGGTGTAGGTGGATGCATCATTCATGGACTTCGTTAAGTATGTAGTGAATACTTAACGAAGTGTAGCCTACATGAAATCAGAGTCAACCCTGTTTACGTTCCCGCTCTTATTGTTCAGGATTCATCCGTGCGTGTGTTGTTCAGATGAAAATAAAGTTAGTTTTCGTTATATAACTTGGGATGTCAGACTCTAAAACCTTTCTTGTTGGCTGACGTCACCCTCCTCCCTCAAACCACCTGTCATATAGAGACGTCCAATCAAATCCCAGAGGATTCAATCAAGTCCCATGACTCTGAAATACAGCAGATTATGGAAGTCAAATGAGCTGCGAGTGGCGTTTCAGACTGACTTCAATAGCAAGCAAACAAATGCAATTTACTGATTGATTGATTGATTGATTGATTGATTGATTGATTGACAAATTTATTGCTGTTTTGTTCAATACAAATTACAATATACTTACAGTTAGATTGGATGATATTTTAAACTATTGGAGTATACAGTATATAGTATATTACAATATATTTAGAATTTTAGTTTATTATAATTAAATTCATATAAATAATTCATATGATAAATTATGCATTCATATTATACATTTACATTTTTATAAATATTAATAAATAAATAATTTTATAAATATTACAATATAATATGCTATATGTTATAAGAATGTAATATAATGTAATATACTAGTATTTAGTATGTAGTATGGTTGTATTCCATTCCAAACACAGCCATGTTCTCTATTTAGTAATTATTATTGTTAAATATTAATATTACTGATTATTAATTAATATATCAAGCCAAGTTTATTTGTATAATGATTACATCAGGTTATGGAAGTAAAATGGGTTGCGAGTGACATTTCAGGTTGACTTTAACAGCAAAATTATTGCAATTTTTTTTGATTGAGCCACGGTTTATTATACATATATAAAATTATAATTACAATATAACTTGTAATTATTTAGTAATTAAGTTAGATATTAATATTAATTAATATATCAAGTTTATAAAGCCATTAAATCAAGTAAAATGGGTTTTGAGCGACATTTCACGTTGACTGCAAGAGCATGCAAACAAATCCAAACAAAATGCACAATATTCATTTTACATCAAATTTATCATAAAAATCTAATTTGTCGCAATTCCATCCTGTTTAGCTCTTCATTTTATATAATACGTTGCTTTAACTGTACTTTACAGTACTTTATATATATATATGTATGTGTGTGTATGTGTATGTGTGTGTGTGTGTGTGTGTGTGTGTGCGCATAATATTGTTATTAATATAATATCATATAAGACTTTGTGCCTAATAACAGCTCTCTGCGCACAGCCTCTTGTGGATTTTTGCTTTAACATATACCGCAAGCAGCCACAATATATGATTTCTCATGATTTGTTTCTCATAGACATATCCAAGAGATGTAGTTCTAATAAAAATGAGGATAAATGATTCGCAGTCACAGGCGATTTGAGTTTCAGGTGCTAATCTACAGCATGGAGTGATTGCAGAAACGCGTCCTGTCGAAGCTGCTTTTGTGTTCTATTAGACACTGTAAACCGCTGCTGTCGCTGAAGCTAATTCTTTAGTTTGGTTCTTGTTAAGTCCTGTTTGGGTTGTTTTTTAGTTAAGGGCTCCCGCTCAGGGGCTTTAGCACTTCAAAGGCAGGTTTTCTGAGCATAGTGTTCGCCTCAGGACCAAACGCAGACAAGCAGAGTGTTTAATGGCTCAGACGTATTCACAGACATCAATAAATAATACAGAGATGGACCAACACAGCCTCCTCGACTGCAGTTTAATAACAGATTAAGATGCGATGAGCAGAGAGACTTGAGCCGGTGAGAGAATCTTGCATTAAACTACATCGTCTGATGCACTACATCCATCTAGTTTGATCAAGCTAACAAAGGGTTACTTCATCTAAAAATGTAAATTCATCTAAAAATATAAATTCTCTCATTATTTTCACACCCGTGTGTTGTTTCATACCTTTGTGACTTACTTTCTGCTGTGGAACACAAAAGGAGATGTTTAGCAGAATGTTCAAGCTGCTCTTTTCCACACAGTGAAAGTCAATGGGGACTCGAGCTGACAACAAATTACATAAAACTATCATAAAAGTGATCCATGTGACTCGTGGGCAGTATTTCAGGTCTTCTAAAGTAATTCGATAGCTTTATGTGAAGAAACTGAAGGAAATTTAAATCATTATTCACAGAAAATCTGTTTCTGAATATTCATTGCGTTTGACTTGTGTTCAACATAAAAACCAATGCTGTTTTGTATCAAGTATTTATTTATTTATGTTTCTTTCTCATACAAAGATGTTTGAAATATAATACTTATAAGTCATATGACACTACCAGTCCTCATTCGCATTCACTGTATGAAAAAGAATAGCTTAGATATTTTGCCAAATTATTTATTTTTTGGTCTAAAGGAAAATTATATAGGTTTGGAACAACATGAAGGTTAATGAGTAAATGATAACAGAATTTTTAATTAATTCATTTATTCATTAATTAATTCATTCATTCAGACACTTCCTCCATAAGACAACAGACTTTTAATAGAAAATTTGGTAGCAACAGTTTAATTAAAAAATGTAAATGCTACTCTGTACATATTAAACGGATACAAAACAAAGCAGTAATTCACCTAAAATAAAAATCTATCTCTGCTTGCTCACTTGCATGTGAATGATTCCTTTAAATGGCTGCATCTCTATGCACTGGTGACAAATCTATTTATGTAATACTTTTGATCAATATTGATTGGACCACTTATAAAGGGAGAAAAATGAGCTTGAAGACAGAACATGACGGCTGGAGGGGCTCCGAACTCGAGATCTAATGAGGGGGACGGTGACAGAGATAGAAAGTCTAAAAAATATAAATAAATAAACACCATTTCCACTGCCAATTTAAAGAGGTCATATTCTA